ATTTTGCATTATTTTCTATTTTGTCTCAGTTGTTTGTGTCAAGTTTAATACTGAATGTAAACTTTGCTTTTCGAAAACTTTTAGTCGTTCGTGATTTTCGTATCTTTCTCACACATGAAAACAGACATGAAAATTGGTAAATTCGAATCTCAAAATTTAGTAAGCTTAGATTTCAATCTACTCGAAAAGTAGTTAATTCTCATATGTAAGGAATAAAATTATTTCAATGAAGTAATTAAGAAAACTTTTTCCTTTTAACTGATGACACATTTGGGTTTAAATGTTCAGGGCCTTCATTTCTCAAGTTTTGTTAGTTGACGATCTCCAGGCAATTTTCTCTCTGATGCTACCAAAGCATTTGTTTTTTTATTATTTTCATTGCGGTAAAAATACATTTAATATAAAAATATCAAAATTCTTATGGTTTTCCAAACATCGTTATGTGAAAGACGAAAGTAAGCTTTAGTTTTTTCTCACCTTAACCAGTTTTCAAGTCTGTTTTATAGTCCTGATTTGTCCTAAAAGAATCGGAAATCTCCAAAATTTCGATTTCAATGAAAGACATCGAAGGTAAATTTCACTAAACCTGATATTTTGTTGGATTGTCTGTAGTTATCTTTCGTTTTTTTAAAGTAAAATTAAACAGAAATTCAAAGCTTAAAAATGTCGGCCATGGGAAACGTTGTCGAAGAATCTTCAAAGAACAAAAATAGCCCGTGTGGTGGCTGGTGGTGAGTTGTGTTCAAAATTTCTAAGTGGGATGGTATAATCGCGCATAAAAAACAATGTAGTGCATTTTGATTCGATTTCAATGCATGGTTTTTATTATGGGATACGTTATCTTCATCTCGAATAAAAATAATTGAAGATTTTTTTCCCGATCTTATTTTTACCTTTCAGATTCATTCAAATTGGATTCCCTGGTTCTCTAATTTCGTATCAGGAGCTTCGCTTTTAGGCAGTGCCTAAATATCTATATTAGGCCTTAGGTCTTAGGTGTCCGTCATTAAGTGACTTGTATTTTGGTGTTGCATGACGCACACTTTGATGATGTTATATGTGGCAGAACAAGGTCTTGGTAATAAGGCGAGCCTTGGTTTACTGTGTCATAATTCGTTTGTCGGATGCGTATCATCAGCTGGCTTTGAATAAGCAGTACTTTTTGGGTCGATAGGCTGCTCGTAAATACTATCGTAGACACCAGTCGACTGTCTACTGTCCGCTGAATAATTAGCAACGGGGAATAAAGGCGATGTAGGTACAGCATTCTTAAAAAACTGCACTTGTGTCTGGTGTTGTATTCGTTCTGTAGAATATTAAGAGCAATGTGAATATCCGATTATGATTGTGATAATCATCTTTTACAGTGCGAATCGAAAAACAGTGGGCATCTAGAAATATTCGTGGAATGTTCTTTTCTTCTTTGGCCAATCAGAATTGACTTTCTAACCACAAGATATAAAGAAATAAATAAGAAATATTTCTAGGTGCACACGGTTTTTCGATTCGCACTGTAATCATGATTATAGCTTACTGTAACACGAATTGTCTTGGCTACCTTGCTCACTTAGAATCGAAGCTAAAAAAGAAAGAAAATATTGCAATGCAATTATATTTATATATTATCATAATATTATAATATTTCATATGTATCAAGATTTAATTTCTATATATCATAGCATTTTTATATGTACAGTTATTTTTCCACCTTTCAGACCACTTGTTATCTTTTCAATATCATCCAGGATGTCGAATGCACAAAAATAAAAGTCAATACTTAGCATGGAATGGAAAAACGCTAAGGCAAAGATCAAAGATACACACAGTTCCAGGACTTTCCAAATAAAATAAAATAAATAAAATAAAATAATAAAAGTAATAATAAAAACAAATCAAATGTGTGATCAGTGTTCACATTGAGTAGAGCCAGACAAATAACTGAAGGGATAAAATCCAAGAAAAAATTACAACATATATTTATATATATTTGTTTTTTTAAGATATAGTTTCTTTTATATTTATGTAATTATTTTGTTTTTGTTGACTTGGATGCAATTTATATATATTGAAAGAGAGTTAATAAAAATATTTGTAAAATAACTTATAAATCTCACATACTTAT